TATTTGGCATTCAGAACTCAAAATTCATGCTATGTTATTGGTCACCTGAGTCACATGGTATGGCTTCTGTTTCCTGATTGTTTTAGTTTTTATAAAGAGTAGGAGTGCCTGAAGAAATTATGAAGGCACTGACTGGAGCTCTCAGGAAGATGGTGGGAAAACACTAGAGTAAGAGAGAGGAAGACCCACGACATTTTTAAATCTCCTTGTCTCTTGCACAAGAACATGTATACATGGAACCCAGATTGTAAAGCAGTTGGGTTCCTTCCTGAAGGAGAGAGAAAGATGTTAACCAGATATCTTGACTGTCTAGAAGACATTACATTACATTTTCTCTCACCACATTCACACCAAGTTATTTTGAGTGCATGTGTTTCTTTAGTCTTCATTGTAAGGTTTGGGCCAGATCCTAGTTTGTCTCACTTAATTGCCTTAGCATCAGGGTTCTGACCAGAAGGCTCAGGAAGAAACTGTCCATTCCCACACCCACTATATAGCACCATACATTATATTCAAATACTTGCCAGTTGAATGGCTCAATTCACTCAATTTTCTATTATATTATTGCCAGCCATTTATTGCAGTCAATCGTCATGTGCACAAGGGCAGTGGTCACCTCCCATTGTTCATGTCATTTGATTGTCACAGTGCCAGACTGGCTCAACAGGAGTTTGGAGAACTTCCTGCTTAGATGTCTCTTCTAGCAATATTTCATATACCTACCAATTGCATTTACTCATCTCCCATTTTTTGTCATCATGAACAATCATCGTTGGACAGAAACAACAAAGGGCTTTTGACTTTGTGCCAACTGGTAAATCTCAAAACTGGCCATAGGACACAACAGATAGCCCTTTACTGTGTGTAAAGGTTGTTCTCTAGGAAAGTGGTCTCTGGGACATTGATCCCCCGCCTCAGCAGCTGGCCACCAAAGAAAATTTGTTCCGTGTTCTGGTGGTGGAACAAGTGCCAAGCATCTTCAGATGAAGGACCTCTCTCTGCTGCTCAGGCATCACACCTCCTACTCCCTTGTCTTCTGCTCTCCTACTCTCTGTTGCTTATGTGGAGATATTTTAAAAACATTCTCCTAGGATGTGTTTACATTAGTAAAATTAGAGCCTGTATTTCATTGATGGTAGGGCTGCCCTGAAGCTAAGCCACATACAGGATCACACGCTTTTACCAGGTCATGAAAACTCAGAGCAGACTGCTCATGGTCTGCAGATTGCAGCTTGGGAAATATTGCATTATATTTTACACTGTAATAATTGACAAATAGTTTATAATGATAGAGAAACAATGTTGGTATTTTCAGTGCTAAGAGATTTAAATACACAACTTCCATTAATGTAAGTGATGTTTCTAAATCGTCTAGTCAGCTTTCAAAATCTCAACTCATATTATCAGGGATAAGAACTTAAATCCACATTTCTTGACAAGTGCTTGGATTCTTAACCGTAATTCTGCACTAATGCTTGGTATTTGCATAGAACTGAAGTTGGTGTGTAAGAGCATTTAAAAAAAATATAGCAAACTTTAAAACATACTAGTTGCTAAGGAGAACTTGCATGTACCAGCCATTACATATCTGGTATTTTAATAGCTCTAGATGTAATCGTTGACTGATTTCAGGTGACAGGTTCCAGTGGTAGCCGTGTTAGTCAATATCAGCAAAAAAACCGCGGAGTCCTTGTGGCACCTTAGAGACTAACAAATTTAGAAAGCTTATGCCCAAATAAATTAGTTAGTCTCTAAGGTGCCACAAGAACTTTTTTTTTTTTGGCTGCTGATTACAGGTAGTAATTTCCCAACCTGAAGTCAGAACTGACACACTTCTACATTAAATTAAATATGTAATTAAAAAATTAACCTAAATGGAATTTAAAAAAAAATCTCAATGATTTTATTGGTGTTTTTTTCATCTTTATGAGGTCAATGAAAACATTTTTATATTTTCGATTGGAATTTTTCTCCTAAGTATGCCACATTACAGTGCATCAATAATAAAAATATGATGCAACCAATCAGAATGAGACAAAAACAGATGCGACAATATGCAGTGCAATGTGTCAAGTACTGCAAAACGTAACCTCACCAAAGCATTGCTCAGGTAACCAACAGTCTGAGAGCATTTGATATTTTGAAAAGAAATTGTTTAACTGAAGTTTAACCCTGGTTGCCTATGCTACTGATTTAGGTAGTCATCTGAAGGGACAGAAGGGCAGGTAAAGGGTATAGCCATTCTAACACACTGTATCAGGAAAACTCTTGTACTGCAAATGAGGAACTGTTAAAAGAATGCCTTTTCTGGGTATCAGGCCATAGATTATATAATGAAACTCTTTAAAAACTAACTTCTGAAGGAAGGAGACCATTAAAGGAGTGCATTATCTGTACAACAAATTCAATAGCAATTCAAAGTGTAAAATGAATAAAACTATTAGCAAAATACATTTACTGGGCACCAAACCAGAAAATATGTAATCATATGCTGGAACCAACTTAAATAAATAACTGTAAAAGAATAAAACCACTTATGAGGAGACTTTTTGTGTGTGTAATGAGGCTATGTATTTAACAATTTCTCTTTGTAGTGGTATTTTAAATAGGTCACATTTATGCCTGTTAAGATGACATTTTACACCCTATTTATAGAATCTCATTATAATGTCTGCCTGGTCTCATTTCAATTAAATTTTGACTTTGAAATGGGATGGAAGGATGGAAGAGGACAGACACTCCAGTGGGCAATAATGACGATTTTTTAAAAGTTTATGTTGCATTCTGAATGGCAGGGAGGGTCAGGAGGAAAATACGGGCACAGAAACATTATCTTGAGAAACTGAACAGATATGCAATAAGATGGAAACAGCTCCTGGGGCTCCTTAACTTTTCTGTGCACATGCTTCCTGTACAGAACGATTCCTAAACTTGATTTACCTTGAACCCTCTTTGGATTGGGCTTCTCTGTCCCTGCAAGTTACCCAATAAAGGGGATGTGTCCCCCACAGTCATGTTGACGGACCTAGCTGTCTCCTCAGACTCGCACTAGCCCCTGCAATTCATTCCATTTCCCCATGTCAGGATTCCTGCCCTCAACTCACTTATACTCTCCATTCATACTCATCTTGCTGAACTGCCCAGGGACACCACAATGAACTGCTCCCCAGATAGTCCAGTTGGGAACTAGGCCTTCCAATTTAGCTTTCCATTGAGCAAACCACTCCAATTAACATGATGCTCCTAGGACTTGACAATCACTCCAAAACACATCCGACACTATCAATGCCAATACCACAGCCCTGCACTGACAGTCAGATCAAGGGCCAACTCAGAGAACTGCAGCCCAGAGCTGTAAAAATGTGGAACTAACCCTGAAGCCAGAGTGACAAGGTGCAGATTAACAGTTACTGTCAACACCAAACATTCAAAAATCATGAGTTGGACTACAAATCACAATTGGATTAAAAAAAATCATGAGATATTTGAAGAAATAATAGTTTCTAGAAATAATGGACTAGAAATTGACTCTCAGTCTTCAGCCCCCTTATGTTTATCTTTCCCCCATGTTTTCTCTTACTATCATGTACCACTCATATTCTCCCTTTTCCTCCCCATCCTCTACAGTCTCCCACCTTTCTACCCTGTATTACCTCCTAGATCCCCCTACAGCCCCTGAAGTCTTGCTTCCTGCACCCCAGGTTTCCTTGTGACTCTCAGTCTGCCCCATTCTACACACATTGGTCTGTACCCCATTGTTTGCCTTCTGCCTCCCCATATTCCTCTGCATTGTTATAGCTTTCCCTTCTGCTTCCCACATGCCTCTATCTCTAGAACTGATTAATATTTTTTTGTCAATACAAATGTTTAATGAAAAATAGCCTTTAAAAAGGTTTGAGTGAATTTCAGTCTCTTTGGGAATTCTCCAGTCACAATCAAAAACTGAAAACTTTAAAAAAAAAAATTTTTTTGTTTCTTTTGAAAATTTTCTCAGAAAATAACCATTTTCTGACCAGCTCTACCTGGGCTCCCTCCATTTTCCCATCCAGAGGCCCCAGCAGGCAGTCATGTTCCCTAAGAGAAACCTGGCTTCAGCCCACTTAAAAACAATGGGAGATGCTGATTATCTTCACAAGGTGTAGTATCAATTCCACATGCAACGGCTGTATTGAAAAGTCGTCTGTCTTGGCTGAGAGCAGCCTGTAATTCAGTCTCATTGAAAAGAATGGGAAATGACAGCCATTTTGTAAAAGGGAAAAATTTACCAGAAAGCTGCCAGACAAGAAGGTAAAACACTGCAAAAATCACAAAGTGACAACTCTGAATTATCTACTGTTGGAGCTCATTACACTATTGTATAACACTGTGGAATGAAGTTACAGTTTAAAACATGTTTTTAATTAGGTAACTGTTCTGGTAACCAAAACCAAGGTCACCAAGGTTTTGTATCTTCCTCTGTTTATTATTGTTTGTAAGAATGTGATTACAAGCAGTCCCAACATCAACCAACGTGTACATGGATGAATTACTAAAACGTGGCACTATATAAATCCAGTTTGCTGAGTTTGAGTTAAATGAAATATAGTTCTTTCCCCACAGGTTGTAAGCTACATTCCTCTCTTCAAAAAGGCTGTGTTCTGGGTCCCCTCTCCTGGAGCACAGTGAAAAAAAATCTGTTATTGTTGGAGCTGGGCCTATTTTAAATAGGCCATAATACTTGGAGAGTGGCCTTTGAAAGCCAGCCCACCTGCGGGCCAGTGGAACCCCCCTTCCTGCTGTCTGGTCTTGGGATTTGATTCCAAAGCCCACTGTCTGACTCCCTTGTGTTAACACCGCTCTGATTTTCTGAAGCTTACTTACATCCCCTTCACCCTGTGAAAAACTGGAGCCAAACCACAGCACGTCCCACACTGGTACAGACTGGGGGTTAGTGATTTGAAATGCAGTACTTGGTAGCCAGCCTGTGTGAATGATTCATGATCACATGGACTTAATATTACCTGTTATGCCATTGTTTCTAATGGCTAGTGAACCTAGCATTTCCCCGTCTCTTCTGTTTCTCTGCACTTGGCCTCCCTTCACTGCCACGCTCCCATTCCACAGACATCTAAAAAAATCATTTAAAAATGTACTGTAAAATAAGAAGTACACACAGTAACCTATTTCTCCTAAATGGAGGAGTTTCTGGTGGCATTCATGCATCGTATATCAATCTTCAAAACACTATGCTGCACCTTCAACTCAGACACTGATTAGTGGAAATGAGATGGAAGGAAAACGACAGTAGAACCTGGCTTGCACCAGTTGCCCCAATAACTAGAAGACTCACTGTGAATTTGCACGGAAAGCCAATGTCGAGTGTCTTCTTCTGGGTAGAGATTTCCCAGGCCTCATTCTGCTGCATAAGAGTGGAAAGGTAGGGACTGGATAGTGGGAGGCAGTGCGCACCCTTTGCCCAGTACAGTGCTTAGCTATGCAAGGCCTCCCTCTGCTTTAATACATGTAAGACAGGAAAAAGATGAGGCAGGGGAAGGACTGTGGGGATCCACTGCTGTGCAAATCCCCTCATGCTTCTAGGTTGACCAGACAGCAAGCGTGAAAAATTGGGACAGGGGGTGGGGGGTAATAGGAGCCTATATAAGAAAAAGACTCAAAATTCAGGACTGTCCCTATAAAATCGGGACATCTGGTCACACTACAGGCTCCTCATGTTGAAGGGCTGCATAAAGATTCCCATAACCTAGTCCTGACACAGGGCTCTAGGACCCTCTCTGCTACTCTCCTCAACATCTGTCAATTGTATGGGTTGACAGTGGCCTCTGGCTTTAGTTTACGTGAACAAAGCATAATATAGCAAAGACAATGTATCACAAAATATACCAGCTTCTCAAGCATAGGAAAAGGGAAGTTAAGAGTAAGTAAATAATTCAACAAGAATTAAGAGTACTCACCAGCTGGATGAGAAGGAGATCCAGGAAGCAGCAGCAGCCAGTTACAAAATGGATGCTTTAGGGCTGCAACTGCTCCTCTCTTCCAAATTTAAAGGGCCAGCCCCACAGTGATGCCAGGGAGGCCGCTGTAATCTAAACAGGCCCCACGAGTTACACCTGGAGTCCCAGCACAGCCCAAGATTGTACATGTGATTTAAAGCCACCTTACTCTACACTCCTCCGTGACTGTGAATTCTCTACTGTGCCTTTTAAAAGTTCAGCACAGAATCTCATCCTGGTATTTTAATTCCTATCTTTAGAGTTTCCTTTATTCCCTTTACAGCCACAGCTTGTCTGCCATGTAGAATCTTAAGGGTCTGAAATTCAATATCTTTATGAAATTGCCTCTGCAGATCCCCTCTTTAGGTGACACATGTCATGCTTCATGATTCAGAGGAAAAATATAGGTCCTAATATGGAGATCTGCAGAGACAATGTATTCAGTTTCAGTTACTAGTAAGTAAACCCTGTTTCTTTAACCTTAGACTATTACTACTCTGCCCACATTAGGTTAAAAAGAGGGGAAAAGAAAAGCATTAACTGAAATGCCTTGCGCTTACAATGTTTGTATGATGTGCTGTGTTCATGCACAACAGTCAAGCCATTGTAGGCATTTTTCAAGTGTTGCTCAGACCAGGCTGAACCAGTGCAATGTACCAGCAATGAATCTTTGAACCTGCACTAGTTCTGTCAGTCAACATAACTCCATGCCACAATACAGGGCTTTGTACCTGTAAGCTACTCAAAAGTTCTTTTCCCCAGTAACAATCCTGTGCACTAAGGATTAGGTTCTTAAGAAGTACCACAGTGCACTGATATGGTTATAGTTTTATGATATGGACATGCCAAAACAGTTGCATCAAACACAATGCTGCTGCATGGATATGCTAAATTGTTCCAAGCCCTGGCTATGCAACAGACCATTTCATTGCACAATGGCCTGGATCCACAAAGGGACTTAGGCATTACAATAGGATCCACAAAGCCGAGTTAGGTAGCTAGACTCCCTATGCAATGCATGGAGAGAGACAGGTGCCTAAGAATTTGATTCACAAAAACCAGTATAATAAGCGTAGAGCTGCCTAAGCCAGCTAATGGGACATGCTGATGACAGGGGTGTGTCCTAAGCCCCACCCCCTCACGGAGTTTGGTGCCTAAGTCTAGGCTGCAAGGAGGTGCCTATCTTTGCTTGGGTTCCACACCTGGGAACCCTTTCCTGGAGTCAGTGGCTTAGGAGAATGAGTTACGGGCCTGCTTAACTCCATACAAAACTGCCAGAGGAGGAGGTGATGGTAGTACCAATGCCACCCTTGTAGCGTCTAGCTGTGTGCTTAGTGCTGGGATATGGGAGACCTAGGTTCAGGGGGAATAAAGGATTTAAAGAGGGGTCTCTTACTGCTCAGGGGAGTGCTCTAACCCAGTGCTTCTCAAGCAGCGGTACATGTACCCAGAGGTGGTCTTTGCCTAGTTTTATAAAAAGCACTAGCAAAGTCAGTACAAACTAAAATTTCATACAATGACTTGTTTATACTGCTCTATATACTATACACTGAAATGTAAGTACAGTATTTATATTCCAATAGATTTATTTTATAATTATATGGTAAGAATGAGAAAGTCAGCAATTTCTCAGTAACCGTGTGCTGTGATACTCTTGTATGTTTATGTCTGATTTGGTAAGCAAGTCATTTTTAAGTGAGGTGAAACTTGGGGGTACTCAAGACAAATCAGACTCTTGAAAGGGGTACAGTAGTCTAAAAAGGTTGAAAGTCACTGCTCTGACCACAGACTATGGATATTTTTGATATATCTCCCCACTGGACAGAAGCCCAAACTCCACCACCCCACCGCAAGGCACCTGAGCTCTCCCCCACCCCAAATCTGGTAGGTGGAGAATGGGGGGGGGCATGGGGGATTCTGCGAGCCACACTTTACTGGCAAAAGAGCCACATGCAGCTTGCGAGCCATGGTTTGGCCACCCCTAATATAGAGTATAACCAGCTCTCCAGGGTATGCATTGGGTACGAGAAGGCTGGGGAGAGGAGTGAACTGAGTTTGAGCATATCTACTAGTCAGAGGTTTCAAGCTTATGCTTGCTAGTAAGCCAAACTTTAATATTCTTAATTTAGAGGAAAAACAAACTGTGATATTGACCTTTCCATATATTGGCACACTATTCTTTCACACTGCATGGCATAGCTTGGTCTTTTACCATTTAAAATAGAGTTCACTACATCTTTTCTACTGAGTTAACAAAACATAAGTGCACGGTGTGTTTTAGGATTCTGAAGCCAAGTGGAGGGACAAATTAACCAGCACAAAGCAGTGTGAAATAACAAAACACATGGAAGTGCAACTACTGAGAGGAGGTTAGCTATTAGTTAAATCTAGCTCATGTACAAGGAGAGGGCAAAGCCCACTGTCACAGCTCCATCTGCACAGGTTTACTGTAGGACGTGAAATAATTTGATAAGAATAGATCATTCCTAAAAAACGCATAGAGATCTACAACAAAAGGGAATGTAAATGTGATGATCTCCATCACTGGAGGACTTTGCCATTAATCCTCCCATTACCGGTAGCAGCTATCACCGTTCCAGCAACTTCAGCTGGGGCTTTCTAGATTCTGTAAGTAAACGGTTTGAAGTTACTGCAATTCGGGGATAAGCTGCTTTAAGAGAAAAGCTGGCACTTCAGAATTTCCGAAAACTGAAGCCAAGTACCGAGCAACAAAGACTTTAAAACTTGCCAGCATTGCAGATTTATGTATAAAGAGGGGCTGGCTTTTCCTCAAGCTGTGGCAATATCGGAAATGGCATTCTCCACTCCCAGGGTGCAGAAAGCAGTAAACCTGTGCTTTTATAGTCAGTTTAAAAACACACTGACTATAATTGCAAAAGCAAATATAAGAGTGTTTTGGATGACTAAAAAGTTGATTGGCATCATTTTAGACTAATTACCATGAAATGTGGCAACCAGTTACATACAACCTCCTAGAATGAGTAATCTTAATGTTGTACACAGTGCTGTAGCCATTTGGTCCCAGAATATTAGAGAGATTACAGGGGTGTTAATAAGCCACTTCACCTTGAATGGTCCCTTAGAATATGTGCTAATTACTTAGGCTAAACTATCTGTTCAATCATGTATTCAGCTGTGACATGGCGCTTTACAGCTCTGCAACTTTCTCCCTCGGGGAAAAAACAACCCCCTGAGCGCAGCAAGTTACAGCGCTGTAAAGCACCAGTGTAAACAGTGCCCCAGCGCTGGGATCCATGCTCCCAGCGCTGTAAGCTAATTCCCTCGTGGAGGTGGAGTACCTGCAGCGCTGGGAGAGCTCTCTCCCAGCGCTGGTGCGCGACCACACTCGCACTTCAAAGCGCTGCCGCGGGAGCGCTCCCGCAGCAGGGCTTTGAAGTTTCGAGTGTAGCCACGGCCTGAGTACTTTCCCCAGATCTGAAGAAGAGCTCTGTGTGGCTCGAAAGCTTGTCTCTCACCGACAGCAGTTGGTCCAATAAAAGTATTACCTCGCCCACCTTGCCTCTCTGAGTAATCTTAATTTAGGCCTCGTCTACACTAAAGCGTTAGGTCAACGTAAATTGCCTTACATTGACCTAATTATGTCAATGTACACACTACAGCCTTGCTCCTGCCAATGTAAGTGCCCTACTACACTGAGTGCCCATCACCTCCATGAGAGGCATAGGTAGTTAGGGCAATGCAGTGTCCCTGTAGACACTCCATTACTTACATCTATTGGCTGCCATTCACTGGAGCCGTGAAATTGACAAGAAAACCAGCTCCCAGCTCCCCAGCCCTGCTGCTGCCCAGTTTCCACTCCAAGCCAGGCTGCCACCCAGGCTCCCACGCAGCCAGTAGCCCTGCTGCCTCCCTGGGGTCCCGGGTCCCCACTCCCACCCTGGCTGCTGTCCAGGCTGTCAGCTCCCCACTGGGAGCATGGCTGTGCACAGTGGGGAGCTCCATGCCCTGAGTCCGGTTGGCTTCCCTGCTCCCAGTGGGGAACTGAGAAGCCAGTGTGGCTGCTGCCTTATTGCCAGTGGGGAGCAGAAAGCCAAGGGGTGGTGGCAGCCGGGCTACCGGCAGGGAGCGGGACGCAGAGCTGAGATTCCTCACTCTCAGCCCCCCACACTGCCCCTCTTAAGTGGGTGGAAGTGCTCCTGATGAGGATGCGGACCACCGACAGAAGAAGGGCAGTGTGGACATTAAAAATAGGCATATCAAACAGTAAGGAAAAGAACTGGGAAAGGAAGTTGCTGTTATGTCAGGGCACTATAAACTTCAATTGACCTATGTTAGGTCAACTTACAGCCACTGCTGTACTGTCCCAGTTCTTTTCCTTACTGTTTGATATGCCTATTTTTCATGTCCACTTGGTAGTGTCCATGTGTATTGATATGTGATGTAAGGCATCTAAGCATGCTTTTGGGTGCCGTAAAAACAATAAGGCATTGTGTTTATCCTTTGTAGAGTCAACTTTTATTTTATTTCATTTTTTTAATTTGGCTTGTCTATGTATTTTTTCCTGTTCATGGCCTTGATTCAGTGTGAGACTAATAAGAGTTGGATGTTGCCCCAAATATTTTACACACAGATTCCTTTGGTAAGGATACATTTCTGTTATAAAACGCTTCCTGATGCATTGTCTGAAAATTTCCACAGTGCATACAAATGCAATTAGAGTGCTTAGTTATTGCCAGCTGCAATAATAGTGTAATGTTGCAAGTGAAATTCAGTTTATGCAACAACAGCATTGTAACTGTGCTAGGAAACAAATCAGTTATTGATTTTAAACAATAGTAATTTTTATTATATATAATTGCTTTCCATTTATAGCTCCTCGTGTGCTTTGCATACTGCTTAGTTCTCACTAAACTCTTGGTGAGTTATATTTGTATTACTATATCCTCTTACAGAAGAGGAAACTGAGACAGAGGCTGGGGTATTTTGTTTTGAACTCCATGGATTTAGGGGGAAAAAATACTTAAACAGCACATCAACTTCAGCACTGAACAATAGAATAATAAACTAGAGTATTACATATGCTATATAGTAAAAGTTAACAACCCCGTGCTCTTTAGATTAAGTGCCTTCTCTCAGAAAGCACCCCCTGAAGGACTCACTAACAACATTTTTATCATCTATCTAGGTGTTTATATGGCTCCCATCACTGCAGTATCAGATTTTATTGTAGATATGAAATATAGAATCATAGAATTCTAATATAGAATCAAAACCATGAAAACAATGTTTGCTTATATTCTGTGTAAGCCAACAAAGGAAACAGAATGAGAATTGCAATAAGTTCCAATTAATTTTTACAACACTGGGTCATTCAAGGTGTATGTAACATCTAATTTATCAGCATCACACTGCTATTATTAAAATAAGTTTTAAACAAATACTTACACATTGCAAAACCTTCTAGAGACCAAGACCCATCCCTTAGAGGAAAGATACTGTTTTTCTTGGGAGACTGTGATATTTTACCCATATACATCATAAAGAAGCAAAGTAGGGTGCAATCCCCACTTCCTCTTTTCCGCAGGTCACCTTTAAGAAATCAAAAAAAACAGAGCATTTTTCCCATTAACAAAAAAAACAACAAGATTGAAAGCCTCTGACTAATCTTTAATTTAAATATTGGAAAAACAAGAGAGAACAAATGTAAAGTCTCCCTTGGAGAGCAGTGTGCACTCGCCTCTCCTGTTACAAGCTTCAGCAATAGTCAGAACAAAATTGCTGTTCTTTGCACTCAGGCAAAGTTTTCTGTAAGTCTGCACTTGTGTAGCCACCGACACCTGTGTAAACCAGGTGTAAGACACAGTTAACAGAATTCAACAACCATGTTTCACTTTCTGCACAGGTGTAACTGAATACACAGGGTGGAAGACAGTGGAAAAGCAAGGCTTGCAGAATTCTTAGATATCACTGCTCTACAGCCAAAATGCTTCTGAAATAAATGTAGTCAAACTTTACTAATTCTGGGTCACTGAGAATGAAAA